AACTAATTTTTGTCATTTTCAAGTTCGTGGTTCACCTTTTTGTCTTCGAAGGTGTATCAGGCCCTTCAAACAGGTGGCGCATACCTTTCATTGCCTTTATTTCATGCTTTGGCAAGGCCTGTCCTTTTAAACACTATGCGCCTCACTATCCACAAGAAAGTTTTTTTTACTACTTTTTTTTACAAAAACGCATTAATGTAAGTGAAAGATTTAAGAAAAAAAACCTACGAAAAATGACGTAACTTGAGTAAGTCATTTGTGTGATGGCAAGAACGAGGAGGAGGAGAGTAGACACTTGAAAGGGCCGTTGAACTTTGTATCGATGCTGGACAGTTCGCCTTTTCGTCGGATCCAATTCAATCTGAGTTGTCTCATCACCTCCTTTGCCACCACTTTTGGTGGCACTACTCGCCTCTGATGCTCGAGGCTTCGTGACGATTTGCACCTCCTTGGTGAGCTTCTCCAAGTCCGGTATCACATCGCCTTGTACAGGCTTAAGCGACACTTTCCTCTCTTCAGTCTTTGGCTCCCTTGTTTCCCTCATCAGAGGTTATGAAGAAGACAAATGCGGTAGTTAGTTGGTTAGGTAGTTCATGTAATGCATAGAATCGCCAAGAATGTGATGTTCTGTAGATTTTTCAGGCCAATGAACCTACCCATCGCTCTTATAATCCAGCACAAAAATTGCGTGAAGAATGGCCAGAGGGAGGTAGATGAGGGCCATTAGATTCCATGCGTACCAAAGATGACTTCGCAACCTCACATGTTCCGGCAAGATGGGGAGAAGCCTGATGGAGGGTCTGTGTAGCAAACTGCTTGCACTGATCCACCCTCTTTCCAAACTCACACCACGAATCACTCCGCCCCTCAACCAATAATCGTCCCCTTGCATTACAACTAAAATAGCCAAGAAGGTCAGAAATTGCAGAAATAGGAGGAAGGGCAGAGAATAGTGAAGAATGGTAAGAATGATATTTGGTAGAGGTAGAAGTAGGCGAGTTGTCACTTCTCGTTTTGCGTCCAAGTCAAGGAGATACTTGGTGACATCGAAGACAGCTTCACCATCTTCCTGCGATCGAGCAATTTTAAAGACCTCATTGGCATAACTGCCTGGATATCCCACGTCAATCTCATTTTTGGTGAAGGATTTGCGAAGCGAGAAACGTAGTATGGCCTCACCGGCTCCGGGGGCGAGTGCAAGCCTCGACGAGCCACGTTTTTTGAGTTTTGAACTGGAAAGTGGATCCCACTTTTGTTGGTCTTCTTGTGGGACATTAAACTTCACTTTTCCCATTGTGCTTTTAGTTGCAGAGCTAACCAAGAGACGAACAGGGACACAGCCATGCGTGTAGAAATTCGACAGTAAGGAAAATTTAACAAGTGACTACCTTTTCGTGATTTGATGGGCAGAAAGACTGACCCGAGGACGTGACCTGTGAGCTTGGCAATCAATACTGCATGACCCGCCGCATATGTTGGGCCAGTGACCCGCATCGTGGATGCCAAACCGAGTGGTGTACCCTCTTGTCAACCTTGAAGGACCAAAGTACCCAAAATCCTGACACGTCAGCTTGGCAATAAGAGAAATTTACTATAAAACATTTTTATTTAATCGGTGATTTTTTGTGTAAAAATGATTGCTTTGCATTGCATGATTGACTGCTGCCTTCGGCAAGTGGACAGGCGTTCAGGCTATAGAAAGGCACTGCCTTTGCCATTCTGGGAGTCAAAGAAACACCGGCGAAGGAGTGGTGCAATTATTTCATAATGCTTGTGTTCAAACAGAAGGGATGAAGGTAGGGCTCTGCCGTGGCTAGAAGGACGGCTCCCTTCCATTCACCAGAACTAGAGTGACTGGCAAAATAATGAAAAATGCTTCACGAACTTTATTTATTAATTTGTGGTTTGTGGAGAAGAGGTAAAAATTAATTTGAATATGTTTGCAACTACCTTTATGACTGGCCGTCATGTTTATGATCACCCTGCTTTAACCGAATAGATAAGGACATTGTAGTTCTTTGTTTATGGGGCTACCTGACGTTCAGCGGTTACTTTAGGATTTGTCTGACCCTTGTATTCGTGGGCTGACCTTCGGCTCATGCTCAAGTCCAGTTGCTGCTTTGTCCTCTGCGGAATACATGTATTCAACTTCACTTACTGCCTTCTTCCACCCTGTGGGAAGTCTCGGGACGCTACGGACATAGCTTCGTTTCCGTCTATTTTGTCTGAATTTAAGCATTCGACCATGCCCACTGCATTCAAATACTGACTGGGAAGTTTTAGGACGCTACTGCAGCGTCTCGAGATTTCTCACAGGGTGGAAGAAGGCAGTAAGTGAAGCTGGATACGTATGTTCAAAGAGGACAAAGAAGCAACTGGGCCTGAGCGTGGCCCGGAGGCCAGTCCACGAGTACAACAGCCGGACAAATCATACAGTGACCGCCGAACGTCAGGTAGTCACATGAACAAAGCATTATAGCTACAACGTCACTGAAGTCAACACCCCTGCGGTGCTTTTGTCTGACTCCATCATTATTGACTCACAGGGAATTCGCTACAAGATGCTTTATCAGCCATGAGTACACACAATGTGAGAGACATGGCACAAAGGAAACGAGAACGGTAGCTTGTTCCTGTTCTAAAGTAACGTTGGTGTTTTCCACAACGTCCACGTTTGAACTGAATTAAATGTAATGTGTACTAGATTGTTAAAGTGGAATTTTTACAGGAGAGAGGCGGGAGACAATGGGGAACACAATTTACGTGCGTGAGGACAGTGGTGAGTTTCTCTCCAGCTGCTATCCCATATTCGGTCCATCCGCATTCCGTTCCCCATCCTTCCTGTATCTAATGCCAAATAACTAATCTGAAAACAACCTTCTCTTCGAGTCCATGGTTCAAGGACAGGCGGGTAGGCTGGCAGTCCCTCACTAACGACTCATATTCATAAGGCCCGTTTTAAACAACTTGTGATTATTATTCGAAGGTGTGGGCAGATTGTTTTGAGGCAAAACCGGAATAATGACTATCAAAGATCTCAAACCTAGTATACGCGGTGAAACAAAAGGGAAGAGGAAGAGGGCTTTAGAGACCTTATCGGTAGCTACAAGACAAACCATTACTATGCCAACTTCGTCATAGCAACGGCGAAATAAGAATGTACGCTTTCCTTGTCGTAACTATACGTACATTCATAAGTCCCAAAGACGAATACTTTCCTAACGCCACGTAAGTTGTTATTATAAAAAATTAAGGTTTAGCTTTTTTTAGGCCTATGAATTAGAATTAAGCTAAGCCTTACGCCTTTCTTACCTAACGGTAGTCTTAGAACATGAAGAATATTGTGAACTAGAACAACTTTTTCCCGTGAAATTAGTAAAGCTGTTACAAAAAACAATTCAGACATGATATGTAAGTAATCGTTTCCTGTGTTGTAAGCAATTTACTGCTCCTCTGATTTTATATGCCTGAATGACCTTGTAGTGATCGTTTTAAGCGACGTATTGCAGAGCCGGTCGTGAAGTTTTGAGTGTGACTGGTGTCTTGTGAGCGATGTCAAAGAAAAAGGCGGAGGTATCAAAAACAGTGCTTTTTGGCCGAATCGGTACGAATCTCAAGTGTGGAATCGTTGGTTTGCCTAACGTTGGGTAAAACCCAATCTTCTGTGCTTACGAAACTTCCAGAAAGTCCACATTTTTCAACGTCCTCACGACTAGTGCTGCTGCTGCTGCCAACTTCCCATTTTGCACCATTGAGCCCAATGAAAGTATGTCAATTAAAATGTTTTATCTATAGGTCGTGTCGCGGTACCTGATGAGCGTTTCGACTACCTTTGCGAGCACTATCAGCCTCTGAGGTTTGTTGTTTGTACTCAAATAAGACTAACCAAGTAAAGTCGTGTTCCAGCATACCTTAACGTCGTTGACATCGCCGGCCTTGTTAAAGGTGCTCATGAAGGCGCTGGGCTTGGGAATGCTTTCCTGTCACACATTAAAGCAGTGGACGGAATATTTCAAGTTTTGCGTATGCTATTGGGTTCACTTTGAAATAATGCCCATTTTAGGTATTTTTGAAGATCCTGATGTTAGCCATGTTGAAGGGGATGTTGATCCTATCCGCGATATGGAGATAATTCGTGAGGAGCTGCGATTGAAAGACGAGGATTATGTCAACACAGTTTTTGAAAAATTGGAGAAAGCAGTAATTCGTGGTGGTGATAAGAAACAAAAACCCGATTACGATTGCATCGCCAAAGCAAAGCACCTCCTCTGTGAAGAACACAAAGGCATTCGTTTTGGTGAATGGAATGCTGCCGAAATTGAGATTCTGAATGATCATCTCTTTATAACCTCAAAACCGGTTATCTATCTCATTAACATGTCGGAAAAGGACTTTTTTAGGAAGAAAAACAAATGGTTTGTTTCCTCATTTACTTATCAATTTTAATCCCAAAAATGCAAGCGAAGTCGCCCTTTGGAATGTAGGCTAATTAGTCATATCAGCTTTATATCTGAATAGAAACATTGAAATAAATGTCTATGATCGCTTGAGTCGTTCATTTAACTCGATTTTTTGTGTTCCATAACTTTGAGGCATTTTCATTTGTACCCACTTTAGCCTTGGTTTAGAGCATATTCATTTTGAAATGCTAACATGTGGTGCGCTTGCTTTTTTTTGTAATCACGATGCTGTTTGTTTAGGTGGTATATGGTTTAGCTGTAGGCCCAATCTTATTCGCAACTGGACATCTTTTACGTATCTGGAAATGTTACTGCTTAGCGTCTCGAATTTAAAATTTACTTCTCACAAAACACCTAAGTGAGGCGGTGCTTAAATCCTGCTCGTGTTTACCATGAAGGTGCTTATACTTGACTCTTGATTTCGAATCTTTACCAATATTCTCTTGAGTTGATTTCCAGTGTTGGTTGCGCATAGTCGATGTGAATTAAGCCTACACGCTTGGCGAACCCAACAGCCAATTTTGTAGCATGCGATACGTTATTATTATTGGCTATTGTTGGTTCAGATGTTAATGAAATATCTTAACATTGGTGTTATTTTGTCAGTTGGCCGTGTCACGACCTTTTGGACACGTTGAAAATGTGCCGTAAATCCGTAACACCTAGCAAAGTCTATGAGGAGTTATCAGCTTGATGTTTACTCCTTCGTGGGCCGGTGGCTGGGTCGGAGGTCAGTCACCTGAATTAGCTACTGTTTAACTCACTGATTTGTCGCCAAAATTAGTTTTGCACTATGCTTTCTTCTAGAACATATCCATGTGTTGACTTGCTAAATGTCAAGAGCTACTTGAGGTTGGCTTCTTTTTGACTCAGGGTGAGTCAAAGCTTATCCAGTCTAATCAGTCTGCTTGCCAGTTAATAAGGCAGTGCTAATATTACCCAAGACCAATTCTGCTCAGACATTTTATATTTTTATTTCGGCTTTAAAGTTGTAGTAAAATTAATTATGCAGGTGTGTGCCATCCAAGGACAACAGTATTCCATAGAAAATCCTTCTTTCCTCCAGGAATAGTAGTTGATTTTGTGGTTTTGAAATTTCCCATTTTTTCTCCGAATGTGGACATCCCGCTCCATTTCGCTAATCTCTGAGTTTTTTTTTCTGCAAAACCAGTCTTCCATGCAGTGAAAATGAATTTCACCTACATGAGCGTGGTAAAAATGCGCCTCGAAACTAGGTCTTGCTAGTTTTTAACCGAATTTTCACTATCCTTGCTGTAAAATAGATGACTGGAGGGTCTGCCTGCGCTGATAAGGAGATTGTCAAAAAGGTTGCACCAGGATCCGGGATGTGCATTTTTCCCTTTTCCGACGTTGATTTATGATTACTTGGTGGTGGTATACTTACTGAACCATGTGCATGCATCACTCTGGCTTCGGTTATCAAGAATATTTTCGGAGATTAGCCTCCAAATTCAACCGTCCATGGTAGCTGCTCCTCTTCTGCAAACTGATAAATCTGGTGTCTGGGTTCTGAATCCATCTGCACTTCATTTCAACTGTGCCTGATTGCCTAGGCTGATAATTTGTAGTGCTACCCCTTGGAGTTAGTCTGAGCTGTCACTATATTAACGTTCTCGCTTCACCTCTCCCACTAGCTACGAACGGAATAGGTTTGTGGATTGTTCTGAGTTATTTGCTTAGGAAATCGAAGAGGCGGAAATAATTTTTACAGAACTTTGGACAACGTGGAGAAGGCGACACGAAGTGTGGAGGGAACCATGGTCTTGTATTCATCTTCAAGAAACGGGTTCGCGTATTTTTAGAACCAGTTTTCACCCTTCAACCATTGTTAGGGATAAGTCTCCTCCCAACCCCAAACGAGATGTCGTATTTATCCCAGACCAAAGTCATTGTTGAATTGAATGGAGTGATGAAACTCCTTTGGTGGCAGTAACCTGTCTATTTCCACTGTTTTAACGTTTTTTATCGCTTTTAAACATTGATTGTATCATTCCTTGTTCAATCACCTCTTAAATTCTCCGCATCGATCAAACGTCCAGAATGAGACTCTCTTTGCACTGGGTGGATGCTCATTAAAATGACTGTCATTGCCTTGGCAAAGTTGAGACCTCTTAATTGCCATAGTGCTGAACACCTTGGAGTGTCAAACCATAGTTTTGTAATTGTTGTAGGTAATCGCTGGGTCGAGACAGTACCTATGTTCTTCAGAGGTTCCACTTTGGAGTCCTTTTCTAAATCCACCTTACAATTGTTTTCTGACCTTCAGGTTAGTGAAGATCAAAGAGTACGTTGATGCAAACGATCCTGGCGCAGTGATGATTCCCTTCTCTGCGGATTTTGAGCTGCGCTATGCGGAGATGTCGGAGGCAGAAAAGAAGGCCTTCTTGGAGGCAAATCCCTCAGTGCACTCCCAACTTCCCAAAATCATCCAGACGGGTTATAAGGCTCTACAACTCATCTACTTCTTCACGGCTGGCAAAGACGAGGTCAAGGCCTGGACCATTCAGGTGGGGGAAGGATACTGTTGCATCAAGTATCTTAGACGTAATTCGCCTTCCATTTTACGCGACCCAGTTTGGTCCTATTTACCGAAGATGGCGGGTCCTATTTTTTTAGAAAAACACCAAGGCCCCACAAGCTGCTGGAAAGATTCACTCGGACATGGAACGCGGCTTCATCATGGCTGAGGTGATGACTTTCGATGAGTTCAAAGCTGAAGGCTCAGAAGCCGCTTGCAAAGTGAGCTTCCCTTTTTCCTTCCCACCAGTTTCGATTATTGTGTGAAATGTGGAATGAATGATAACTTTCTAGGCGGCTGGAAAGTATAGGCAGAAAGGACGGGACTATTTAGTACAGGACGGTGACATTATATACTTCAAATTCAACGCCGGCGCCGGTCTGAAAAAGAAATAAACCTTTTTACTTACCTTCTTGTAGGTAATCATTGGCTTTCATATTTTGAAAATAAAATAATTGATAAAACGGTTTGTTGCTACTGCAATTTATTTAGGTGTAAAGGGGTTACGTTCGCACCACACATGGGACTCAAGTTCTTCAAGTCTACGGGGAAGCTCGTAGGCGTACAAGTGTGGGTAAGCTGAATGTTGGGGGTTTCTGTGATGCGCACTTCGTGATTGGCGCGCTTGGGACTAACACTGGGCGCCTCGCGTGTTGCCTGGTTGTAGAGGCGATTGAGGGCTTGCCATGGGATCACAGAGATGAAAATTACCTGACTTCAAGTGAGCAAGGCGAACCAGTTAGTTTGTGAGATAGGTTCACAAGTGGCGCAAACCCTGCTCGATGATAACGCGTTTTCTTAGATGAGACTGTCAGAGTTTGGCGCTATGCATACCTGAAATAATTCAACAGTCATTTATCAGCTACAATAAGACCAATAGTTCTAAAACCAATAGACAAAAGCAAAAATGATTGACATTTATTTATTATTTTTAATATTTTTTTTATTTTTTTACTTACAAACTATTGTATAGGAGCCCAACAATTTTGTTTTAATCGACCCTTGATAATTTGTCGGCGCCTAACACCGAGTTTGACCATGCAGAGGTTGACACTTAGGCGTCGTTTGTCCTACAATACTAACTCCAACAGGAGGCAAAAGTGAGTTTTGTCCTTTACATTTGTATTGTTGTCCTTTCATATACTCATAATTTCATTTCTTCTCTAGAGTCAAGACCCCTGGCGGTAAATTGGTTTACATTTACCAGAAGAAGCTTGGAACGTTTCCCAAATGTGGCGATTGTAAGCGCAAGCTGGCAGGAATTAAGCCGTCCCGCCCCATGACTCGTTCCCGCATGTCCAAGCGGCTGAAGACTGTTACCCGCTCCTACGGCGGCAGTAGATGCCATGCTTGTGTTCGGTCAAGGATTCTTCGTGCCTTTCTCATGGAGGAACAGAAGGTTTTGAAACAAATTTTGAAGGAAAAGAGGATGGATCGGATTAAACAGGCCATCGAGAAGCGTAAGGCTGCTGCAAAGGCCAAAAAGAAGGATGCAGCTAAGAAGGAGAAAAAGCCTGCTGCCCCTGTTGGTAAATCCAAGAAGTAGTTGTAGAAAATACAGTTTTTGGAACAAAAGTTGGACCTATTTCTTTGATTTGAGTATGTTATTTTGCAACTTAGCTGCTAGCTCATTGTACGGTCGATTTCTCTGCCGAGGTTGGGGGTTATTCCTTTGTGCACCGGTCCTTTGACACCTCCAGTTTCTCACTGGATGGTTTCTGAAGAGTCTCGGTTACTGTTACTTCAAATCCTCGTCTTATTCATTGCTGAATGCATTTAGTCGGCTCTTTATTGGGCCTCCTCATTGCATACGCATTTGGTCCTCAGAAAATTAATGTGCCTCCACGTTTACTTAATGTGGAGCTGGGCAGCCCTTCGTACGTTTCCATTGTACACCTGATTACAATAGAGTTTCCTGCATTCTCTTGCTGATCAAAGTGGTGAGATTTGGTATCTCAACTGGTTATAACTCCACTATTGATTGTCTTTCATTTCATCTAAACGCCAGCTTCGGTGTTGTCGTCTTGATCCTACTTATCGCTTTAAGAGGGACAAAATCTCCGAAAACTCGTTTATTGAATGACTGTCATGGAAAACCCAAGTATGGAAAAGTGAGGTAAGAGAGGATGAAAGGTGGGGGGAAGGGTGGAGAGTGTCACATGTTAGCCACTTGTGCAACGCAGTCGATGAGGGCTACTCCGCAATAGCATCGAGGGATATTTAGGCGGCCGGAAAGGACGGTCCATGTGTTAAGGTTTGGATCGTATGTCTCAGCGGTGTCCAGGCTTGTGGATCCATCGTCTCCACCCACCACGTAAAGCATCCCGTTGTGGGACACCAATCCTAGATTTAAAAGTAGAAAAGTCAATGAGTTGAAAGAGTAGCTAAAATTGCTTACCAGCGTTCCGGCGGGCGTGATGCATATCCACGACACTGCACCACACTCCAACTCTTGGGTCAAAGTACTCGACGGAGGATCGCACAAGGAGTCCATCATGACCACCAACGGCGTAGATTCTTGCCGCTAAATCGGTAACTGCAGGCCCACTCCTTCGATGATTCATGTCTGCAACTGCTGACCACTGATTTGTGAGCGGGTTGTAACACTCCACAGATGACAAACAGCGCCTGCTGGACCCATCGTAACCTCCGACAGCGTAGAGTCGCCTCCCGAGAACGCCTACACCGACGGAAGAACGGGGAACGGACATTGGAGCGACTGATTTCCATGTTCCCGACCAGGGATCTAGAGCCTCAACCGATGCGAATCCTGTAAAAAGCAGAAAATTTAGAAGTAAAAAAAAAAACGCCGCATAATTTATCAGTAGAGCTTTTGTTTCACCATGAGTTCCGTTAAATCCTCCAACTGCATAGATTATTCCATCAAGAACAGCAACGCCTAGAGTTGAGCGTCGGCACTCGAGACTGGGTCCAGCACGCCAGGTATTTCGGACGGGATCATAGATGTCCACGGAGCGGACCCGCAAGGCCCCATTGAAGCCCCCAATTACGTATATCAATCCACCAACCACAGCAACACCACAACGACATCGACGGGTGGGAAGATCGCTAATAGCGCCAACACTACAATTGCCATTAATCGCCGTTGATCTTGTCCACGTGTCTGCGGTAAAGTCATAGCTTTCTACCGAACGAATCGCCTTTGGTGCCTGTCCACCGAGAACTAGGAGGGTCTACAAGAGGTATTATGTCGTATTATCAATACAGCACTTTTTTTTTGATAAACAAGCCTTGAACTCCCCGCCATGCCTTCGCAACATGGTAAAGAATTGAGGCAAGACCTATGTTCCTCCACTCTTTAAATCGAGAAGAACTGGTTTTAGGTACCCTACAACATGCCTTCTTTCTCAGCCTGTGTACTGTTTCCACTCAACCGCAAATTGGTTTGCTGTCTGCAGTTCATCCGCAGGAGATCAGAATTTTGAAATGACCAAATGACTGTGGATGTTGGTTTTGGCAAGGACGGCTGTTATTGCTCCAGAGCCGGAAACTCAGCCATTCATCGTGCCTGATAAATCTGTCACAAATTAACTTCTACATCCCCCATCGAGACGATGCGGTGGTTGAACATGGTCCTCACAATCATTTACCCTGACATCTCAAGCATTGTAATTGTTATGTTCTCTCACGGTACTTTGATTAATTCTTCTAAGTCGACAGTTAAACTCAAGGATGCTTGGCGTAATATTTTCGTGGCAAATCGTCAGAAATGGAATGCAATGCGGCCTAAACTTATGTGACAGACCAAGCAACCTTTAGTGTGAGAGGAATACCTCTGAAAGATGGTTGCAATACCTGCCATCAAATAGTATGGAAATGAGGGTAAAGAAAGGGTAAGAAAGAGCGTTTTGCTCCACGTCGAATGCTATGAAGGCACGATGTGGGCGCGAAGATTGAGACGCCCAACCTCCTCCGTCCATGTGGTGGGCTGATTGAGAGAATGGAATTTGCCTTCGCATACTTGGCGTGCACAAATGAATGAAAAGTTGTAGAAAATCCAACTACTGTGTGAAGGGTGATTAATGCCTCAGATGCCAGTTTCTTTAACTAAGACATAATTAAAGCGTTAGAAAGCATCGAGAAGAAGCCCAATCCTGCTTCACGTTCACCCGGATCCTAGGGTTTGTATAAAGCTGGAGACCTGGACAATTTATCTTTTAAAAATCAAATGCCGAATCGCAAAAAAAAATTAATGAAAATTTCACAAACCAGAATCTGCTAAAATTCTTGTGCCAATGAGAAGAAAAGAAGGGGGCCAAATTTCTTATTTGAGGAATCACCTTGACCAAACAGCTCTGTGAGCAAACCTGCAGGTACTCCGTGTCTGAACGCTGCAGCCGCATGTGTAAAGACGGCAAGCACAAGCTCAGAGCGAAGAGAATCACACAACCACAAAAAGTGATCGTAAAGAAAGACTTAAAAGGGAAAATTGAAAGTCAAGATAGGTTAATGTTAGCTTTTACTAGGTCAAAATTACCACTTCTGGGGAATGCTCGAGAAAGGAGATCATGGAATACAGGTATTCCGCATCATTCCTCACGCAATAATCTACCCCATTCAAACCTCCTCACTGAGCGTGACTATGCACCATCCAGCCGCCATTGTGCTGTGTCTCCCCTCATTCCACAATGCGCCCAGTCACTACAAAGATCTGCACAGCCCACGCGGTCAAAAGTCGTTGTACTCGCCCAACATCAACAACAACAACAACACAACTCCACACTACATTGCATTGCTCCTTCTGCACAACACATTTCAAATGGCATTTCGGTGTCTGTGCACAGGGCGCCGTGTTCATTGCATTGTGCGAGGAAGTGGCATTTATGATTGTTGCCGTTAACTTAACACCCACCGAGGCGGCCACTTCATGTAGTCACTTCTAACCTGCCAGAGTTGATTGCAAAAGGGATGACAATCCCTTGTGTGTAATTTGTAGAAAGTTGAGTGGATTGAGGACTGTTGAGTATTAGTTGAATATGTGTTAGTATCTTGAGCCATGGCTCGTCCAGCCTCGCATCCAAACGTCGTTTAGGCTGCTACTTGAGGACCATACGCCCCATCCGTCTTGCCGAATTGATTCGCTCTGTTGTGACTTACTGCCACTCAGATTTATGCAAAAAAATTGGAATCAGGTTCACGCACCTTTGGGACGATGGAAAGGTAAAAAATAAAAATCGAATGAGAGAGGTAATAGTTAAGGAGGATTGCATGAAAAACAACCTCAAGCGATAAAGGCACGAGTTTTCCTCGTCAACTTATGGTTGAATGCATAAGCTCCAACTGCCATAAGGAGTAAATAGACACACTATTTGCGTTGGCAAGATCTAAAGTGACTTCCATTATCCCTTTATTCATTGAAGGTAAGCTTTGTCATCAAAACAACCGAAAAGACCGACTAACGGGCATTAAATGTTTAACTACTGCTTCTGTTTCATTGTATAATTGCCGATTATCAAAATATTAGCAGTAGTCTACCTTTGGAACCCCAATACTTCGAGGCCGAGTACGTTCAGAAGTGATGTTTCGCCGTCTTTGCTCCCATGGTAAAAGGAGGAAACCCATAGCCTCAAGAAGAAAGTCTTTGCACCATGGATTAGCGCGCAAAAACTCCTCCGACAAGGACAGTCGAATGAGGTAGTCCCGTGGCAATAGGCCGAAGCGCACATGACCACAAACCTCCGCGGCTACCTCGGGAGTGCCACGGGCTGCGGGATCGTGTCGCATCCATCGCAAAGCAGCCTCAAAAACCTGCTCCTCGGACACGCGAATATGATCACTTGAGATTAAACTAATCAACTGTTCCTTGGTCAGGCTAAGAAACTCCTCTCCATGCTCCAACACTTCCCTACAGATAAAAAATAATAAAAAAGAGGTAATAACTATGTATAAGAAAGTAGGAAACAGTAAATATCAGTGTTTAAGGTGCAAAAGATGGAAAGAGAAATCGTGTAAAATAATATTTTCCGGCTTATTTTTGACCAATCAGCTACCAGCACCGAAGACACAACAGGTCACTCCCGGAAATGTTTTGCCAATTTTGAGTGGAAACCACAATTTTTAATAATAGTTATTGTTCAAATCGCACTTAAGGAATCCATTTATCATCAATCTACGTTTTAAAACATGCAGTACCCATCTTAATTAATCAAAATACGCATTTCCACAGTACTGACCACCTCCAAACATCAGAATAACGACAACCTGAGATGGAAATGAAGCCATTTTTTTGGAGTCAAAGACACTTGACGCATTGGGGGGGGGGG